TCACATTGAGCGGGCGCCATTAGCACACACGGCAAACACACACTAGCAGTGCTGATCACTTGATCAGTGACAAATACAGAACAGAACAGCCGCTGTGTGTGACTGATGAATGAAGCAGGGCCCTGCCCCCGGGCTCTATTTATAGCGGCGGCGGCGGCAGCCGAGCCTGGCGCCTCGAGTGACGTGACAGGGCGAGCTTGTGCATCAGCAGCCCAAAACTTGCAAGCACGTAACACTTTTTTTTTCTCATTCACAAACCCAGGGGGGGAGCACCTTGTAAACAATAGAAGACGAGACATTTGGGCACAAAATCGGTTGAGCAAAAATCCCTGTTCGGATGACTTAAAAAAAATCCCTGTTCGGATGAGTTTTACACGTACTCTGGTTGTTGTTGTTGTTGTTGTTTGCAAAGTTAGAAACGGTGTCAAGCAAGTGAACACACGCATGCCCCAGCTAACTAGATCGAGCATACATATCCGGACGCCCGCGGCCACATCACCACCATGCTTGTAAAAGCCACCGCCGTGCCTTACCTACAGTGCCCCCTTTCTGTTTCATCCATGACAAACTAGTTGATGTGTGCACTGCTTGCTTTCGTGTACGTGCAGGTGGTTTTCATTTAGTTTGTTTTCTAAAACACCCCTGCGCACATTGTTTAATTAACCTTTTTCCGAATGAAATCGAGTGTAAGGAAACTAGTGATGTGAAATTAGTGTGAGCATCTTTATCTTCTTTTTGAGAAACAAAATTAATGTGGGGAATACTCTTCTTTTCGAACCAAAAAGTTATTGTGAAGCATTTTTGTCATAATGGCATCAAGCTTGAAAAATCGAACTGGATGGTCAGTAAATGGTCTGCCAACTAAACTTCTACTCCTACCAAACGCCCGCGCCCGTCATGGTCCAACAATGCAAGAACCACCACCGGCCGTGTCACCCTTTGCCTTGTTCCATGCGTGCGTGCATGCATCCAGCCAGAAAAAAAAAACTGAAAACTGAATTGATCATGGTGTTCCAGGCGCCGCTTCTGTGACTCACGCTGTCGTGTCAACTCGCATGCACGCACCGCCAGCACACATGACGCGGTAGACATGGTGCAGCTAGCGCGCTTTCTGTTTCACAAGGACGACGCGCTGACGAACGTTGCTCGCTTGCTTGCTTCAGTGTTTTTAGGCTTTATTACTAGCTTTGTTGAGAGTTGAGACTTGTGTCTTGTGAGTGGTGGGTGGCGTTCCGATCGACACTGGAGTACTTTGATTTGGCTAGCTGGTACATACAGTAAGATAAGGCCGGATCGGAGTCCCCTATCAAGCACACGCCGGCAGGCCATGCCCATGGCATGGCTGCGCAAGCAAGCGCAGCGGTTGAGCGGATAGCGTTGTTCGTCGTGTCAGGATGGGTCGTCGTTGCGTCCGCGTTAGACGATGATGGGATCGCAGCTCAGCGAGCTACACGCACGTCCCTGATCTCGGCAAGGATTACATTTGATTTCCCCCTTTTATTTAAACTACCGTCTTTTCGCATCAGGAGCATACGTGCAATCCGATAGTTGCTTGACTACTGTGATGTCACTGAGTTATACGAGTAGCTGGACAGCAGCAATAGATGAGAAAAAACGGTTGTTTTGGAAGTGAGTCCATAGTAACTGCTTGGTTGTTGGTAGGAGCAGTACGCTGGGCTGAGATTGTTGCACCGGTCAACAGTTAGTTGGTTCTGCGTGTGTGCACCGGTACTGTAACTTTTCAAGCCTTGTAGCAGTACCAGTGCGGCTCACACCGGCCGGGGCCTGTCGTCTTGACACGCTACGCGCGCAGGGCCAAGCTACGAATTGCCACCAGCTTCGTCACTTACCGGCTTACCGCACGTGATTGGGTGCGCGTGGTCACGCACACGCACGCCGCGACAACCATCCGGCGCCCGGCGGGCAAGGAGAGGGTAGCACAGGCGGCGGCACGCTTCCGCAAACCCGCGGGCGGGCGCGCGGCCGTCCGTCCGTCTCCGCCTGGTATCCCGGTCCCATACCCCCGTGCCGTCACGGTGTTCGCGTGAGAAGCAGAGCACCGTGCGTCCGTCCATGTGCCGGGGAAGGGGGCAACTGCAGAAGCCACAAGGAGGAGAGCGCGCACGGATGGCTGCCGTCTGCACGCGCCAGCACGAGTGCGCTGCGAGCCGCCGGCGGCTGCTGCGTGGCTTGGTAAACTACGGCCTCGAACTTATTAGCCGGCTTATCAGTTATACTATTTTTCTCTTACAACGAATCAGCCAAGGCCGGCTTTAATACGCTGCCCACGTCCATGCGTATCACGGTTGTTTATAAACTTTTGGGCTGTCGCTTACAATTTTTATCCAAATTCTCCTATGTAAACACTAACTAAACAGGGCTAAACATGGTGGAGTGGAGCAAATCCATGCCCGTCACCGTCAGGTTGTACAAGACGTGACTGACGCTGTCGTTTCAGTTGGGCAAAGGAGTGGAGAGTGTGGTGGTACGCCGTTCGGAGCTTCCTATCAGCGAATGAATGAGGTGGACCGCTACTTATGACGACGGAAAAACGGAGTGCATCCGTTGAAAATTTTCGAAAACTAGATCGCTATAGGTAATATTAACTTACCTAGAGAAAAACTATATGCAAAACGTGTTCCATGTTCTAACCAAATAAATGGGGCAACTCGAATTAAAGTGAGCTTCCCGGTTGACAAAAATGTATTTTTAAACATTATCCGTTGTCTTAGTAGGGGTTAGTGGATTTGCATTGCCACACCGGAGCAATACAATTACATCCCACGTACACTTGTACCGTCGCTCTTTGGGTCCGTTTGGTTATGGACTGGTCCAACAACCAGGCGTTGGATTTTCCACGCCTGAGGTTGAGATGGATGCATGGCCATGGTTGCTTGGTTCAGGGTTCCAACTAAGCATGCCATTCATCTTTAGCTAGTGTGAAATTCAAAATAGATGGTGTTTATATTTAGAGGTCTAACTACAGAAGTTGTTGAAGAGTATTTTTTTATCAAAATTTCTATTCATACGAATTGAGAAGGATATAAAGTTATAAAAAGGCTCTATGGCCTTATGGGTCCTATGAGGCCATGACCTTAGGATCCCTACATCACCTCATCGCAAACACATCAGTGAAGTTGAAACTTGCTAGTCCTGGGAGACAAACACTGGACATAACTGAGACAAGACAACCGTAGAAATTTTCTGCCTGCCACCACTCTTGCTAGTAATTAAATGGCTGCTACTATTTGAAGCCAGAATTCGCCCCTGATTATTGTCGGTAGAATTTGTGGGGGAAGTGAGATGACATTGTGTGTGTCATTGGCACGAACGGGCAAAGAAAAAATACGCCGTATAACATGTCCCCAGTCACTTGATCATGTGCCAAGTGAAGTGAACCTTGCTGAACCAACAAAAGTCCCCGTGATTTCTTGGATTTAGCCGCATAGATAGGGGAAAAGAAAAGGTACTTCCGGTTCTTGTTTTTTAGCTGCGTCATCACAAGAGAGCGAGGCGAGGCCACTTGCCGGATGGTCGAGCGATCCTACCGTAATAATCAAATTGCTAGCTAAGGTTGCCAAGGTGCACCTGATCTGATGGCGCCCCTGTCTATCCATTCCGTGGATTCCATACTCGATTCCGTTCACACACATTCTTGATGTATGTGCGGATGTACTGAATGAGCCATTGAAAAATGCTTGCGTGACCAAGAGTTGTAGTCGTAGCATGATAGCATTGTCATCGTGCTCGTCTGGTTTTGGCGAAAACCATGGGCATTGACTCTCTGCAGTATACAGGGAAAACGTACTGCCCGATAGTTTATCTCATTCTTAAATCTTACCCAAGGTAATTAGTATGGCTACAAAATAGACGGCGTCGCTCTATATTGATAGTCGTGCGGCAGTTTGTCTTGTTGTAATAAAAGTTCCAAAGTGAAACGGCCACTAGTCCAGTGGTAGGGCAGTGGGATGCAAACGTATACGTGTGGAGTGTATGGATTGTGTGCGTCCTATTATACTCTCTTAAAAAAGATAAAGGTTCTAAAGCATCGAATGGTTCGACAGTCTTGATTGAACATCAACCATCATCGCTATTGGCTAGCAAGATATCCAGAATAGATGATTCTATATTTAGATATCCAATAGCGCAAAAATATATGTGCGCGTATCAGCCAATCTAGATGTGAAAGGACGGAAGAATAAAGATTAAGGACATAGTTCCTGATCCAAAAGTATAAGAGATGTGGTCAGAGTGATTTGGAAATAGTCCAAAACTCCTAATGCAAAATTATCTTCTATCTTTTAGGAGCGAGATTTTCAAAGTGGTTGGAGAACCCAACAAATATTTTCTAACTTTTTTAGCAACTTAGAAAACTCATTAATTTACTAACTGGTTTTTACATTTATTGGAGATGCTCTTGAGTTGAGAAAAAACTCACTACGCATTTGACATGATTGAGCCCTCTATTTGAACCATGCTTGGGTTGGGCTCAGGCCATGGGCTACACATTACACTACGAGAGATGAAAAAAAATGTGCACTTATGCTAGATTTGGGATGAGCCTAATTTGTTCGATGCCCATTTTCCTTACCCAAGCACCTCCAACAACTTGCATGGGCCTACCTTATGGGTCTTTTTGGGCCAGACCAATTGCGGGCCAAGCCCAAAATGCTCTAGTCCAGTTAGCCCCACGTTTGGAGTAAAAAGGAAGATCTTATTCTTATGATGATGAAAAATTGAATGCTTTCAACAATATGTTCGGGAGTTCTTACAATGTACTAGTCTCGATGTTCTCTGCATAAATCATTTTCACTAGATTGGATCAACTCTACTTCCTGACACTAATAATGGTAACCAATGATTCAAACATATGGGACTACTCCACACCTTCAAAGAGTAATTTAAATTTATATTCCAAAATCACTATTTGTTCTTAGTGCATGATCATTTCACGAACTTCGTGTGCAGACACGGGAGATTGGAAACATCGGCCCGACGCTTTAGTCATTAATTTGGTCGAGTAAACGATCTAGACATAATTCAGGGAACCGGAGCTCCTTGACATCATTTCCAGTCACTGGCCACTGAACCATAGCTTCAGTTTTGCTTGGATCAGTAAAATTTGGGCTTAGCCGTCCAAAGGTACTCACAAGGACCAAAGATGCTGTAACTGTAACGCAACGGAACGGTCCCCAAACTGGCCCAAGCAAATCAAAATGGAAACATCGAACCTTCCGGTGGGCAGCTAGGGCATGTTTTGATTTATTAGTACTAAAAATTAGCTAGCTAATAGTTAAGAGTAGCTGCTAATTTCTTTTGCGTATTCAAGGGAAAAAAAGAGTAGATTCTAATTTCTAACTAGCTAATTTTTAACAGGGGCTGTTTGGATCTATCTACTAAAAGGTAGTTGGATAGTGAGTTAAAGCTGGATATGAACTATTAGCACCTATTAGCAACGCTAAACCTGCTAATGGACCTAATAGTTAGCATCCCTATAGCTAATAATTAGCAGGTTTATTAGTAGGTCTGTTTGGATCCTACTAATTTTTGTAACTAATAATTAGCAGGTTTATTAGTAGGTCTGTTTGAATCCTACTAATTTTTTATGCTAATGGATCTAAACAGGTCTTAGTTGTGGAGACACCAGCTTGCTCACCATATTGGAATTGTCTATATGTTGGTGAGCTTGGAAATAAGCATTTCAGAAAATACTTGTTCATCTCCACGCTTACGAGGACACCGGCCTTGACCTTGGTGGGAAGACATGAGCTCGCGCTCGATGTCGGGATCAACTTAGTGATGGTGTGTGTATGTGTACCTAGGGATGAAAACGAACGGGAAATCCGTCCTGTTTCTATATTTGCAAGACCTCGCTCCATATTTGTGGAACTAGGATATATTGTTTCCTATCTATTTTTGTGGGATCCTGTTTTAATACGGACCTATATTTATCATGTTTTCATTCTATGCGTGATATGTGTAACAATCACATGTCCTTACGTTAGGTAAATATACCTATTAATCACCAAATATGCATGTTAATAACACATATGACATGTAAATGAATATTAGACCAGTTTAAGGTGTATATTATTGTGTGAGTTTATATATGCTTACTTCAAAATATTAAATTATGTGATTTTAATTTAACTTTCCGTCCGTATTTATTCTTTTTCTGTCCGTTTTTACCCCTATATACGTACCCATGCGGCCATGCATGCCATGGCAACATGTATCCAGCCAACAAAATGCTCTCGCGAATTGCGTGCCTCGCGAATTCAGTTTCTATAAGAGCTGCAAGATATACCTTTTTCGTCGCAATCGGCGCGGCGTCAACGACCGCCCTCAGCGGCGAGCAATGCTGGCCCCGTCCCGCGCCGGCGTCGGAGCGGATGACGCTCGCTTTGGCGGCGTGCTGGGACCTCGGCGCCGCGACCGATCGGCGGGCGAAGGAGGTCGCATCCCTGGCCCTCCTGCCTTTGGAGCCCGGCTTCTGAAGGCAGATTGTGGCCCCGGAAACCGACGCCGCCATCCTTCCAATCCCCTCCGCCTGCACCCAGCCAGGGAAGAAAGGCAGAAGTCCATGCGCGTCAGCTCGTGCACGATGATCATATGGCGCAAGGGAGAGAGAGAGAGAGAGAGAGAGAGAGAGAGAGAGAGAGAGACGAGAGCTGCTTACGTGACCGGAGCTAGCGCTGGCTGTTGTCCGCGTGGGCACCCGAGCTCCAACGGAGCTCGAACCGAACGTGCGTGTGCGGCGGGAGCGCGCGCGCGCGAGGCAGAGTGAGCTCGCGGAAAGTTGAGCGAGGAATGCCTTTAGTTGCCTTTAGTCTTATACCGTCCGCGTCGAGCGACAGGGTTCACACGCGCCCCCATCGCAGCGGCTGCTCACCTTATCCCGTCTCGCGGCCTGTGGCTCCGGACGACGAGGCTCCTGGCTCCAGGCAATTCGGGAAGACCCAGAGAGCCTGATCCAGCTCCGGCCTCCTGGACTCTGCCGCGCGAGTGGCTACAGTTTACGCAGCATGGTACGTCTATCAGTATTGGACGCATATGAATTTGTTTCAAAAAAACTCTGATGCGAGTGGAAACGTTTCGCTATTTTTAATATAAATATATAAATAGAAAATGATGCATATTAAAATTCTAAAATAATATTACCTCTATTCGTAAAAGATGCAACTATGGGTTACATTTTTGTTAAAGTGTTTCACGTTTGACCAAGTTTCTATAAATAATATTTATATTTATGGCTCCAAATCAGTTTATTATGAAAATATATTTCATAATTAATCTAAATATTTATTTGATATTATAAATATTTATATATTTTTATTTATAATTAGTCAAACTTGATATACTTAAAAAATGACATTGTTCCAGAATTGTATTCTTTTGGAAACGAAGTGGAGTAGTAGGTTAGCAATTTTGCCAATACCTGTAATCTTGCATCAGTGATGTCTTGCTCATCTTTTCAATATTTTCAATTCTGTCAACACTCCAACACCCAAGCATATCTATTCTATTCTCAAAATCCAGTCTGCCTCTCTATTTTTTTTTTGTCCACCTTTTAAAGCTTTTTTCTTCAGGCTGCTCTGTGTCCGTGTTTTTTCAGCCTCTTGTTTTCTGCTTGGACTCTCGTTCGGACTTTGCTTGGAGGTTGGCCTTTTAGTCCGGTGTTTTGTCTTCTCTTCGTTGTTTTTTAGTTTGGTGTTTTTTTTTCTTTTCATTGTTTCTCCATTCCGACTCCGTCTTTTAGTCCGGTATTTTGTCTTTTTTCCATTGTTTTTTAGTTTGGTGTTTTCTTCTTTTCGTTGTTTCTTCATTCCGACTCCGCTCAGTTTTCTATATGGTGTTTTTTCTTCTTCTGGTTTCCTTCTTGAACTCAACTCTGTTATTTTATTTCTCGTAAACGTAAACAACAAATAATAAATACAATAGTATGGTCTTTTGAACCATTGATCCTTCCATAAAAAATAAATTATAGTTTTGATTAGAAACAAAACTCATTCTCATTAAAATATAGATCAACTGGTGGTTCAACTAATCAAACTGTGAATTAAAATCTTATAAACAATTTGTTGTTTAATCCAATCTAAATAAATGTTTCAAACCCTTTTGAGGATTGCGATGTAAAAAATTGAGATGCATTATGTCATCGTCATCGACGGGTAGAGCAACTTTTAATTTTTCGGCAACTAACTCTTTGCTGACTTTAACCAGAGATTAGAATTAAATACATATATTTATGTGTCCTCAAAAAGTGACAAAACTCAATATTCCACTATGGTAACATATGGATGTATGAAAAATCAAATTTATGATATATTTCTGTCAAGGGTCCTAAAAAAAGTCATGAAACTCGATATTTTAGTTGAGGCAACGTATGGGTAGTATGAAGTTAAAGTTATGATATATTTATATCTAAATATTTTAGTGCTTTGCAACAAAAAAAAACATCTATGAAGGTTGTAAGTTAATTCAATACAAGTTTAATAGGATATTGTTATATTTTTACCAACATCAACTTATGTTATGAATATCATGGTCATCATAAAATAAATTTAGATTTGACATTTTATAAAAAGTACATAACATAAATAGATATGTACCATTCCCATTATCGTTTATCAAGAAAATTTGATATATTTTTTTCTTTCGTTGCAACGCACGCACATGTTTTGCAAGCATAATATTAAAAGGCAAAGAGATTATTTTGTCCTTTTTTTTACTTTTCATCATACTAGTCTCAAAACTGTCAAGGGTAAAAAACAAATGGCTTTAAAAATTTGAGAGGTGTGGGAGGATAAAAAAATCGGTCTTGTAAATGAGAGAAGTAAATCAGAAGACAACAAAAGTTGAGGGGTGAAAACTGAAAAGAACTTTTCCCTTTTATAGCCCGGCCTAACTATTGGGCCGCCGGTGTCATCAACGTGTTTTGTTTAGAGATCCAAGTCATACAGCATGGAATGGACTCGTCCGGAGCTTTTCTCGCAGAACCACATGGTCCATATCCGTAGGCACGTCCAAGTGCTACTGCACAGAACTTGACGGATGATTCGATGATATGACACTAACCAGACACCTGGGCTCTCTTCCGTACCAGGATCGGTTGATTCTGCACGGCCTCATGACGCAAACGAAACAGACTGGTCCACCAAATCGGCATGGACGAAGAGGCCCAGCCCGCTTACCGGCCTGGGACCGTGGCCTCGGGGAAGAACGAACTGCCGAAAAAGAAGTGGTGCGCGTGCGCGCTTCCCGGCGCCAGCCCCTGCGTCCCCGCGCTTTCGTCCGTTCCATTCCGCGGTGCGCCAGCCAGCAAAGGCACCCGCCACCCCGGCAACGGCAAGAGAGGCCTTTAAAGCAACGGAGGAACTCACGGGGGCGAGCACGTAGAAACAACCGTTTAGGCACGACCGGCGCCGGGAGAGGGGGTGGAGTGGAAGCCTCCCACGCTTCCCTCGCCGAAGCGCCCCCCCTCCTCCTACACACGCACCAGCGCCATGGGAACGGAGGTGCTCCGCCCGCACGACTGCCTCGCACGCGCTAGGCGGCCGCGGCCGCTGCGCCCCGCCGCCGGGAGGAGGACGGCGGCGGCGGCGCGCGGGACAGTGCCAGGGCCGTGGCGCGCGCGGCGACAGGCGTAGCCCCTCGGCGGCGGTGACGGTGCCGAGGCAGGTCGTCGTACGGACCAAGGTGGCGGTGGCGGACGCGTACGCGGGGCCGGCGTTCGGCGCCATGTCGCCGTCGCCGCGGGCGCTGCCGCTGCCACGGTTCTCCTCCAGGACGGTCGCCGACGCGACGGTGCCAGGCGTGGACGACGCCGCCACGCGGGAGCTTCGGCGGCTGCTGGGACTCCATTGACGCGTAAGACCAGGCAAATTGTAAAAAAGGACTAACGGAGCCATGGCTGCCCATGAGCCCAGCAACACGTACACGAGGTTCAGATGCGCGGGTGTCTCTTTCCATCGAATTCTTCTCGGTTTGCAGCTCTTTGTCCGTCTGCCGTGCGGCCCGAGCGCCGGGCTTCGGAATGCCTCCCTTTGCCTGATGTTTTTTGTGAAGGACAAAGGGAGGCCAGAAGCGGTGGCACCGCCGCCGCCGTGTAATGGTCCGAAACCAGTCGTCAGAGACAGACAGAAAGACAGGAAGCAAACCATGCTAAGCTAAAAAAATTTTCCACCGCTTCTCACTCGATAAGTCGATTTTATGCTCGAATGTGAATCTGTAAATACTCCCCTTCCTTGTCTCGCCTTCTAAATTGAGGGGAGGGTTACCTTCCTCTAAAAAAATTGAAAGAAATTAAAGTATGCCAGGTTCCCGAAAAGGAAAACTAGGTTTGTTCTAGAAATCTCATTGGATATTATGCAACTTGTAAGTGGCCAATGTTCTCTGAAGAAATTTGGCCAAGAAGGCAATAATTAACGGCATTGGGATTTGGTTTGATTTGATAGTTCACAGTTTCTACAATTACAAACTAAAAGGACAATCAGAAACCTTACAACAGACGAACACTTACATACAGATGCAGTAATTTCAACAAACCCAAGCACACAATCCTCAAAGACGATGCTTGCAGCTACAAATCGTATTTGTGGTAGATTCATGCAGGTTCTTAGATGTGGTTTTTGTACAACACATGTCATTTTGGCTCAAGTGTTTGTTGTAGCCTTTGGCAGATTACTGTAGAGAACAAGTCCTATATACAAGTCTTTCATGAACAGGATTGAAAAAAAGTATAGGCCTCATGGCTTCTTCAGACTACTCACAAAGATATAGAAGCCTTATGACCTTATTACTTACCACGTAGAAAGCTCATATCTTCCGGACAAGAACTTGAGCACCGAACTGGGGTTGGAGGGTTAACATCAGCATTGGTGCATGAGCATAAGATGGCGAAACAGTAAAGGCAAACCGCTGAAGGGTCATTGCAAGTGCCACCTTGGCCTCGACCATTGCAGGATTCTGGCCAACGCAGATTGTAGGACCAATCCCAAAGGGGAAGTAAGCACCTAGGTGATAGCTCTTGCCATCGGCAAACCTTGATGGATTAAACTCCTCTGCATCGGTGCCCCAGACATCATGGTCATGATGGATGGCAATAATAGGGAAGTCAAGCCGTGTGCCAGCCGGGATGTCTAGTTTACCCAGCTTGATATCCCTAGTGGCAGTCCTATTGATGAATGTAGCTGGAGGATACAGCCTGAGGGTTTCTTTTAACACCATAGTTACCTGATCATGGCAACACAGCAAAAGCTTTACTAATTACATTCAAACAGAAATATTCTACATAAATATAGCATAAAATCATCTCACAAGCACTAAAAATGTACGAACTATTCAAAAGATAGACTCACAATTTTGAGATCACTCAGGTTTTCTGCATTAGGGTGCTCATACTTTCCGCACACTTTAAGAACTTCATCACGGGCCTTGACTTGCCACTCTTGATGCAATGCAAGAAGAAGTGTTGCCCATGTGAACAAGTTCGCTGTTGTTTCCTTCCCAGCAAAGTAAAATGTCTTGCACTCATGAATTATCTCTTCAATTCCCATTTTGTATTCGCTCCCAGCTTTGCTGAAGCAAATTTTTTGAATCCTCGCATTTTGTTCCATTGATTTCAATCAATTTGCGCAAGGAGCATTGGATTTCCTGGTTTAACCACTGCCTTTTTCGGTTCTTCTTTGTTGGTACGAACCTATGGTGAAACAGGTCATATAATGATGTATCTATACACTGCCACTAAACAGCGTGGATCCTAAGAATGCAGTGAAAAGAGACAATCTCACCTGAAGCCAGGAATGTAAACAGTCCTCATTGCAAGAAGAGCAAGCATCATTTGTTCCTCTTGCAATTGAAAATTTCGTTTTCCCTCCTCGTAGCTACTTCCAAATGCCACACAGGAAATGACATCTGCACTCAAAGTGTGGAATGCTTTATGGACATCGATCTCAAACTCAGTGCGGCTTCCACCTTCGGCCTCCCATTTATCCAGAACAGATGACGCCGCAGCTGCTATTTCTGGTATCCAAGCCTACAAGGGACAAATATTGAGTTCAGTGGTAAATGATACTTGATTAGCTGCACCCATCAGATAACCATGCAAATCAGAAAGAAGAAACACTGACCACAGACGAACATTACCTTGCCATGCTAAGTTCCACATAAGGTTCTTGTTCAATACAAGTATATTCATTAAGTAAAAGCTAAATTCCACACTTGTCACATCAAAGGGGCATCAACATCACATTTACTAAGGACTAATGTTTCAGCAAAATTGATTGAAAGTCTAAACCTAGTAGTTCTATAAATGAGTTTAAAGAACACTGGTACATACTCTTACGAAACAATCACAAAAGTAATAACTTAAGCTCATATTAGCACAAGATTTTAGCAAGACATACACCCCCTAGTTGTTGAGATAGAAAAAAAGAATTGCTACCAGGTGTGATTTATCAGAGTCTCACAAATTTTCATGTTCCAAGTCTCAAGGAACACCTCCTCACCTTCACCCTCTCCATGTTAAACGCCGGCGAAATCACGCGGCGGTGGCGCGCCCACGTCTGCCCAGAGAGCCCAGTGAGCCCCTCGCCAATGAGCTGCCTGGCGAGCGGGTTGTTGCCGCCGGCGCCCGCCTTATCAAAGGCCCCCGTGGAGTCGGTCATGGCGGCCTTCACGAGCTCCGGATCGGAGATCACCAGCCGCGGCCGGGGCTCGAACCAGTACACGAACGGCCGCCCGTGCCGCGCCGGCCAGACCGCGTACTGCGGCGTGGCGCGGGCGACGACGCCATCGTGGCGGAAGGAGGGGAGCGGCGCGGACCTGGCGGCGGCTAGCAAGTCGCGGTAGTCGGCTGCGTTACCGGAGAGCAGGCTGCGCGGTGGCCACCGGATTCCCTGCCGCCGCAAGCGGCGTTCCAGGCGGAGTGAGACCCACAGGAAGGAGTGGAGCAAGCGGAGCACGTACTGGGCGGCCGCGAGGAGCGCGGCGAAGAGGAGAGCGGAAGAGAGGGTGGCCATTGCTTGCTAGTGGTACTCCTGTTACTCTGCGGACTTCGGTACTTTCAACGGCCAACGGGGAACTGGCTCCGATGGAGCATGGAGGAGAAGCATCGCATTGACTTCTTCGGGGAACCGAGGCTACTGTTTTCCCGTTAGATTCCTTTCATCTCGTACACACATACGACAAAACAACCTATTTACAAATAGGGAAAATAGGATTATAATTATCTAAAAATAATAGCCAAATCAACCATGACAATCAAGCGGCTTAGATATGTGCCAAACCATTGTAAAAAGCAAAGTGGAATTATTTTTAAAATAGACTTCAAAATGCTTACGACAAAGTTAGATGGTCTCTCTTACCGCAAACAATGCGGATGAAAGGTTTCTCTCCTAAGTGGATCTCTTGGGTGCAAGCTTTTATATCAGGTGGAGGCGTGACAATCAATATTTAATGATGCGGTCGGACCTCCTTGCTTTCAAACGAAAAAAAGGCCTTCAGGAGATCTATTATCCCCTATTTTGTTTAACACTGATACTAATTAAAAAAGCCAAAGCAGATAATTAGATAAGTGGAATAGTGCCACATCTAGTTGATGAAGGTTTATCTATTCTATAGTATGCTGACGATACGTTACTCTTTATGGATCATGACCTCGAAAAGGCTCGCAACACGAAATTATTACTTTGTGCATTCGAGCAACTTTTAGGTCTTAAAATAAACTTCCACAAGAGTGAAATATTCTGCTTTGGAGCAGTACAAGAATCTTTACCCCAATATAGAGAGCTTTTGGTTGTAATCAAGGAGTTTTTTCAATGAGGTATTTAGGCATACCTATACATTATAGGAGGCTCTCAAATGCAGATTGGAAAAGAGTAGAAGAACGTTTTGAAAAAAGACTCAGCAGCTGGAAAGGAAAACATCTGTCAACTGGTGGGCGCTTGACACTGATTAACTAGTTCTTAGCATCTTACCAATATATATGATGTCCTTTTTTACGATCCCAAAAGGAGTTCTCAAGAAATTAGACTACTTCAGGTCAAGATTTTTTTGGCAAAGTGATGAACAAAAACGAAAATACAGATTAGCCAAATGGGACATATTATGCCAACCCAACTTTTTTACGATCCCAAAAGGAGTTCTCAAGAAATTAGACTATTTCAGGTCAAGATTTTTTTGGCAAAGTGATGAACAAAAACAAAAATACAGATTAGCCAAATGGGACATATTATGCCAACCCAAAACCCAAGGTGGGCTTGGAATTCACAATTTAGACATCAAGAACACAACCCTTTTGAGTAAGTGGCTTTTCAAATTGCTCACAAGATCTTTTGTAAGGTTGTGTGTATCCTTGTTATACAGAGGCCGGAAGTGTTTCAAGGTCTTTGTATCATCTCGATGTAACGATCTTGAAATTAATAAAGCTTTCCTTATCGTAAAAACGTACAGGTCTGGTCGATTTCAAATAATGACCATGTTTACAAACTTTTTAACGTCTAATTCAAGAGGCCAAAAAGTGAAAACACAAGATGGGATGGTAGTCCCGAACAAAGATGCTGCCGGCATGGATCCTAGATTCCTAGTACAAGTGTGGAGAATGAATCAAATGGCGTGAATTAAGTTTTTTGAAAAAATGGTGTGCAACATACCTTCTCCGTCCCATTAAAATTGTCATTTTTGACTTTTAGACTTCTTGACCGTTCGTCGGGACGGAGGGAGTGGGACCGTATGAAGTGAAAGGATTGATTGATGGAGCAGAACTTGTTTGTATGCTGGATGGAGGCAAAACAGAAGTTACCAAATGTTCGACCTGGACATACAGGAATATAAGTCCAGTATAAAGGCTGCGTTCGCTGGTCTTATCAGCCAGTTTCAGCCGGCTGCTCCTCCTCACAACAACCAGCCAATTTCAGCCGCTACAGTGTTTCTCTCTCACAGCAACCAGCCAAGTTTCAGACCAGCGAACGGGGCCAAAGTATAAACGAACAGGCAAAACAGGACATTTTTTGTTTTCAGTATAGTTTAGGGAGAACACACAATGCCCAGGAGGGATTTAACTTCATGTTTGCAACTCTGATACAAAGTAATATCTGGCCATATTTTTACTATTACAAACAGAAAGTTAAAAAGATGGACAGGTCAACGACTTTACGCCTTCATGACAAGGTAATATCAGTGGCCAAGTGCTTCACAAATTCATAACAAGGACTGTACACCTTAATGTCAAGGACTCACCAAACTCAAATTTGGTTGCTCATACAAACATCACTCTTGTGCCTTCCTTCTGTTGCTTCCCTGAAACACAGAATAACATGTAGATTTTCAGCAAGGAAAAAAAATACTGAACACTAATACAGAAAAAGGACATGCATCAGATTTCAAGGTTCTCAATAATAATGCTGCACACACTTTTTGATATATTATTTCAAACAATAGTAAAGGACAATGATCAGGCATTAGTTTCTTTTCAAACAACAGTAAGCAGCTGGCTGGTATGTCACAATTGTTTTTTTATTTAAGTGGTTTCCGCACCTGGAATTGTGTCTACCATAAAAGAAGGTGGTCCAGGCTTGAAAAAGTTTGGCATATCATAATTGTGTCTATTATAAAAGCCGGTGTTTGGTTCAAACTCCTAAACTTTAGTCCTAGTCTTATCGGATATTTGACACATGCATGAAGTATTAAATATAGACTATTTACGAAACTAAATGCACAGATTGAGACTAATTTGCGAGACGAATTTTTTAAGCCTAATTAGTCCATGTTTTGACAATGTGGTGCTACAGTAAACACGTGCTAATGACGAATTAATTAGGCTTAATAAATTCGTCTTAGAACTTATGTAATTTATTTTTTATTACTATCAAACACCCGTACAATATCATATTCAATGTGATACCTTTTTTTAATCCTAGGCCTTGTTTAGATACCCTCAAAATTCCAAGTTTTTTCAGTCTCTCTCCATCACATCAATTTTTAGCCGTTTGCATGGAGCATTAAATGTAGGTAAAAAAATAACTAATTGCACAGTTTAGTTGGAAATCACGAGATGAATCTTTTGAGCTTAGTTGGTCCACGATTGGACAATATTTACCAAATAAGACGAAAGTGCTACTATTTATCGGGTTGAAATTTTTTTTAATCTAAACAAGGCCCTAATCCGAACTTTGGTCTGTTTTGCTTGTCAATTTCACTTCTGACAGGTCCGTTCTTTTTTTAGAGTACAGGTCAGTTCTTGGGGCACTGAACTCAAAGGTACGTGCCTTTTTGCTGGACCAAGCATCTAATCACGCATCATCTATCAGGAGAGAAGGAAAGAAAAAGGTAAAACAAGAGCTAGTACTGTAATTAGTCAGATAAATTAAACCATGATTCATCGAAATGTGAGAATAGTTTAGAGCCAGTGTAGATGCGGTACTTAGGGCATGTTTGATACACATGGGTAGTTACTGAGTAAAAAAATTAGCTTAAATTAGCCGTAGTTGATTAGCTAGTTGGTTAACTACTAGTTGAAGATTTGTCTAAAAAAATGATTGCAGCTATTAGCTCTCATGTTTGAATACACTTTAGCTTGCTAGCAATTAACCCTTATCCAATAGGCCCTTAGCTTGTTTGGCCTGCTTTCCTTAGCAGTGCCAGCGGCATCCTAGCCGCCTTGTGCTCCGGGCTCCGGTGGGACACGACAAAGCGAGCGTGAATGGAGACCGACCCCGACGATTATTCAACCCTGGGCTATGGGTCCACCTTCACCGCCTCGGCGCGATGTCCGTGGCGACCGGAAAGATCCTGTAGACGTCGTGGGACGATGGAGCAGGGTGCTGGTACTGGTAGTATGGCTAGAAAGAACCGTTGTTGATGGGGACGGCACGAATGGTGGTGCTACGCATGCTCGACGAGATCCACAGCTTACATCCTCCTCCTCCCCTTCACCCATCGATGGGAGGTTTGAGCCTAGCGACCTAGGGTTACGACATCGGTGACAACAACGAGATGGCTAGATGGGGATGGATTTTGGCGCAACTTTCATCCCGCGCACGTCCATAGTAGGATCCGTGCATGTCGATTCGAGAAGACGCTCTCGTACAGCGCCCCCTCATCTGGCGATCACGCATGGGAGCACGAGCCGTTGTCGTCATGTCATGAGATGACAGCCTCGGGCCCGTCTATGGCTTGCAAGGGTGCTTTTGCAAAATTCACATAATACAGATGGCTCCTACAAATAACATAATAACCAACAAAAACTTCCTAAAAACACTAGGCCCAAATCCCTAAATTCAACCGAATACCTCCAAAATACAAACAAATTAGGCCTTAATGTTGCTATGTTACCTGGCTAACTATGCTGCCATTGTCTCTGCCTGCCTTTCGCGACACTATTTTTCCATGTTGTCATAGGGCCCTTTATCCCTACGTGCATAGCTATCGGATAGATTAGAGGAACTCTAAGATTTTTGTGAAAAACTACCATCCAACAACTTCTTTAAATAGTTATCCAAATATAATCATCTTTTATTCTGAATTTCTCGCTAGTTAAAAATATAAAACAAGAATGACTCTAGAGTGTGGACGAGTAGTAGAAAAACTGTTAGACAGTGAAAAGATATAAAATACAATTTTTATGCAAATGACTCTCCAAATGATGATTTAGATATTGAAATTTAGAAAGACTCTTGGAGATGCTTTTAGTCATGACTCATGAGCATGTCTCTGTACGAAAGGAAGTACTTTTTGGTTTTATTTGGTGCCTTCAATATCACACTTTGACCAGAAGTATTTCTAGGTACAAATCCAATTTAACCACTTTTGTTGTGCAAAACTTTCGTATAAATAGATTAATTACTAATAAAAATTAATGAAGTTTTAATCTTGAAATACGTGTATGTCTTATGTTTTTGATAGAGGGAGTAATAATTTGAAGAAAATGTTTTGGCTATTGCCACGACTCAATATAGAATATCTTAAGTTTTACACAAGGGTCTCAATTTCTCACGTATGGTCTAGAAAGAGGACAACGTTG